GCACTACCAGAGAAAAGGTGGTATGAAAGAGAGAGAGAAAAGGGAGGATGGGGTAACAAAAAGAAATGCACAGGGAAACACTGAGACAGGCAAGATAGAAGAGGCAAAGCAAAGAATGCATCAGCAAAGAGGAAAGCTGAGGAGATTAAGCAGATGAAACAGCAAAAGAGGTAGTCTTCTGTTCCCACAAGCCCTGGCTGCTGTAACTGGGTTCCCACCCCCCCAATGTATAATAGCCTTGCTCATAGCTTCTATGCTAGATTTGTGTTCTGTTTTGGAATAGTGATTTAGTACTGTATAACTTTCCTAACTAATAATCATCAGGTGCCATCAAGTTAATTCCTTTTCAGAGCTTTCCAGGTAAAGAATACTCAAAAGTGGTTTACCATTCCCTTCTTCTGAGGGTGCCCTGGGACTATGCAGCTTGCCGAAAGCCCCAAACGCTGGCCATACTCACAGGGGGCTATGGGTTGGTTGGTGGGTGGGGGTGGAATTAAACTCTCAACCTCTCTGGCTCTACAGCCAGATACTCAACTCACTGAGTTCTCCAGCCAGCTATAAACTTCCCTACTAGTAGTGTAAACGAAAACAAAATAAAACCATATCTTCAAGAACTTGACAAAAAAGCTTGCAAAATCATGTTGTTTTTAAAAAACTGATCATACTGTAATAGTAACCCTGCGTAGTGTAATCAATAGTGTTGAATTAGAACTCTGGTAACCTGGATTCAAATCCTTGTTCATCTATGGAATTTCATTGTCTGGGGAGACTGGTAAAGCCAGTACTAAATTTTTCATATCTCACTTACTTTGAAAGCCCTATTAGGATTTCTACATCACATATGAACACAATATATTGCAACAGGCTGTACATCATGTGGATGACAAGAAAATACAAGATCATCAGTGATTAATCAGATACTATAGGAAGAACACATTTCTGTCAGGAAAAGCCCTATCAATGCAATCCTATGCATATTTACCTGGAAGTAATTCATACTCTTCCCCTTTCATGGATCACTGCCTTGCCATGGTGAAGGGACTTGAGTAATTCAGGGACACCCAAGACGGACAGGAGAGTTCTGACTAAATGCAGTCCACTGGGAGCAGGAACTGGCAAGCCACCCCAGTATCCCTGCTAATAAAACTCCATGGACAGAAACAAAAGGCTAAAAGATATGACACGGGGAAGATGAGCCCCCTCGGTTCGAAGGCGTCCAATATGCTACTGAGGAAGAGTGGAGGACAAGGACAAGTAGATCCAGAGCTAATGGAGGGGATGGGCCAAAGCCGAAAGGATGCTCAGTTGCGGACGTGCCTGGTAGTGAAAGGAAAGTCAGATGCTGCAAAGAAAAATACTGCATAGGAGCCTGGAATGTAAGATCTATGAACCTTGGTAAGCTGAATGTGTTCAAACAGGAGATGGCAAGAATAAACATTGACATCCTGGGTGTCAGTGAACTAAAATGGATGGGAATGGGCAAATTCAATTCAGACGATTTTCATATCTACTATTGTGGGCAAGAATCACATAGAAGAAATGGAGTAGCTCTCATAGTAAACAAAAGAGTGGGAAAAGCTGTACTGGGATACAAAGACAACAGAATGATCTCAATACAAATCCAAAGCACAGCTTTCAACATCACAGTAATCCAAGTTTATGCACCAACCACCCATGCTGAAGAGGCTGGAATTGACCAATTCTATGAAGACTTACAACACCTTCTAGAACTGACACCAAAGAAATATGTTCTTCTCATTATAGGGGACTGGTATGCTAAAGTAGGGAGTCAAGAGATAAAAGGAACAACAGGAAAGTTTTGCCTTGGAGTTCAAAACGAAGCAGGGCAAAAGCTAATAGAGTTTTGCCAAGAGAACAAGCTAGTCATCACAAACAATCTTTTTCAACAACACAAGAGGCGACTCTACACATGGACATCCCCAGATGGGCAATACCAAAATCAGACTGCTTATATTCTCTGCAGCCAAAGATGGAGAAACTCTATACAGTCAGCAAAAACAAGACCTGCAGCTGATTGTGGCTCTGATCATCAGCTTCTTATAGCAAAATTCAAGCTTAAGCTGAAGACAGTAGGAAAAACCACTGGGCTAGTCAGTTATAATCTAAACCAAATCCCTTATGAATACACAGTGGAAGTAAAGAACAGATTTAAGGAACTAGATTTGGTGGACAGAGTGCCTGAAGAACTTTGTATGGAGGCTCATGACACTGTACAGGAGGCAGCAATAAAAACCATCCCAAAGAAAACGAAATGCAAGAATGCAAAGTGGCTGTCCAATGAGGCCTTACAAATAGCAGAGAAGAGAAGGGAAACAAAATGCAAAGGAGATAGGGAAAGTTACAGAAAATTGAATGCAGACTTCCAAAGAATAGCAAGGACAGACATCTTGGAGAGACTTAAGAATCCCAAGCCAGAATTATTATTATTATTATTATTATTATTATTATTATTATTATTATTATTATTATTATTATTATTATTATTATTATTATTATTATTATTATTATTATTATTATTATTATTATTATTATTATTA